AAATAAACGCCCTTAAGTTTAATAAAGTTTATCCCCAAGTAAATAATAACAGATTGCAGACTAAATATTTGAGCTGTTGACCTAAAATCATTCTGAATAGAGGTAGCACTCTGTTTTGCTTTCTGAAGCTTGGCTTACTTGATCCAATGTGGAATTTGCATAATACCCAGAATCATAAACTAGGAACAAGGTTGCATCTACATGAAACCTAGGTTGAAAATGGCTATTTTGTGGTTCAGTATGTTGTGCAAATATGCACCTATTTGCTGGTCCCTAAAGATTGAACAAAATATTAACAATATGTATGTTTGTTGCAAAAAGATTGCTAGAATTTAAAACTTGAAATTTAAAAAGATTCGTCCCTATGGTGGGAGAAATCCTTGCGCTATATCCTTACTTCAGTGCTCTAGTCTCAACAATGAGATACCAATTTTCTTTTACTAATTTTTTTTCCAGTGCAAAGTCTACCATTGCATTATTAAACCAGCTACATGAATTGACTCAGTATCTCTATTTGCATAGTAAATTAAGCCAAAAACTGATCAAATGGATTGGATTTGCATATGCTAGCTCACTCCTTTGAACTACAATTACAAAATCTACTACCAAAAGCAAACCTACCCAGGTTTCTTGTACAAATAAATTAGTTATAACTTACGTGGCTCCGTATATTGAATGAATCTTTCTTTCATATTTAACAGATGCAAGCCTGGCAAACAACTTTCATGCTATGATTAAACAAGTTTGCCCCCAAAGTATTATCTGGAAACTTGAACTCTAGGTTCTTCTAACATGGTAGTTTCTGATCTATTATTTAACCAAGTACTTGGTTAAATACTAGATTTTGGGCCCTGCTGATTGGAAAGTTGGTTTTGCCAATAAAAAAAAGGAGGAAGAATCTATAGAATGCCATAGAAGGCATATTTGCTCAACATGTTTGCACAGTTTTGTGGTTTGTTGTTGTCTTAGAGATTATACTTCAAATGGATGCTTTTCATGCAGCATGCAAAAAAAAAAAAAAAAAAAAGGAAGACAGGAATATTCTCCTGAGGACCTAGGCATTACACTTAACAGTGTTCATAATAGCATCTGGTCAATCTTTTAAATAGTATGTTTTCCACCAAACCCTTGCTACCAGGTTTACACTAAATGATATAGTATTGTTTAATTGTAGCTTAGAATATTATGTGAAACCATCCATTGTGTTTTGTAAATGTTGTGAATTTATGGTGAGTTGTGTGAAACCAGCCACCATAATTAATTTAATAAATCACAATTAAACAAAACCACAACTTAGTCCAATGTGTATACTCAGCTTTGAATAATAATAGCAATAGCACTTAGACTTATATACATACCGCTTTATAATGCTCTCTAAGTGTTTTACGAGTCAGCACATTGCCTCCAATAATCTGGATCCACATTTAACCAACCTTGGAAGGATAGGAGGCTGAGTCAACCTTAAGCTGGTCAGGATCGAACTCCTGGCGGTGAGCAAAGTCAACCTGCAATACTGCATTCTAGCCACAGTGCAACTATGATTATGGCTATTGATGTAAAGTACCCGCTTTACCAGAATTAACCAGCAATATCATTCAGTTTGGTTCTGGACAGTATTATTTAGAAAATGTGGTTGCAATGCAGAACTGCTTCACAGGAAGACTGGCCTTCTACTGTGCCACTGGTTCAGTTTGTTGCACTGTTCTTATTACTGTTACCTCAGGGCAGCTATGTATTTACATGATTTTTTTAAAATAAATTCTTATTTTTAAGATTTGCTTGGCTGAAATCAATAACTAAACTGAGGCTTGTGCTTTGCACACAAAACATACACCATTCTCTTCAGTTGGCAGATGGCAGTATTGCACCTCCAATTATGAGGAAATAGCAGATGTGGCAGGAAATACCTATGCCAAGTAAGGGAACAACTGTCTTAAAAAAAGAAATGACACTTGATTGCTTCTTATTAATGAGCCTTGACAATGCAGGAATTTTGTGCAAGCATATTTCACTTCTTAACAGGAGAACAGGAGTTCTGCTGCAATAGACTCTGATAAAGGCTGATAAATTGAACATCTGTTCCTCACACTAGTCCAACAAGATGATTTTGAGAAGCCCACAAGCAGTCAGGGTCTACATGAAGGATGATATATTTGGATTTTGAGTGTTCTTATGTTGCCTCAAGGCCTCAAAAAGAGAGAGCTCCTGCAGATTTAAGGAAACCTAAAACATTGCATAATTTTACAAAATGCATGTGGAGACTTATAAAGAATTCCACAAAGAAACCACTTTTAAAACAGCTTAGCAGTTCACAGGCTATTGACTAATTCTTAGGGGAAAAACAGAAAGCTGATGTTCTGTCCTGACTCTAGAGTATAAAATGCTTCCAGAGTGGATAACAAGACACTAAAAACAAGACTGAATAATAACAGATGGGTAATGCTGAGTTAATCAATATCAAATAAATAAATAAGAGAGAACTAAACACAGTAGCTTAAAAGGTCTAAAAAATTACAGACGTTTTTTTTAAAAAAGAGATTTAGATAACATGGAAGAATAAAGCCAGCAAACAAAAAGACCACAGGTCAATTGCAAGAAACCTATTATTAAAGCAGCTGAAGCTGCTTTTTGCAATCTGTTTGATAGATGTATTTCACACGATATTTGTTATTGGCTAGGAATCAAGGTTGCTGAAGCACAATATATCTGGAGGGTGATGTGTTAAGTAGCTACACAAGCTGTTTCAAGGCAACTCTCAGATGAGTGTTGCATCCAAATTCTTTGACAAAATTAGATTAGTTATTACATTTATATTGTGTCTTTTAGTACTTTCTCCAAGTTTATCACCATCTTGTAGTACTTTCTCCAAGTTTATCACCATACCAATATAGTCCTGTGAATTTAATCTTGGGGTGAGAGAGAGTGACTGGCCCAATGTTACCAAATGAGCTTTCATGGCTGAGCACAGACTTGAATCTGGATCTCCTCAATCTTTATCCAATACTTTAACTATTATACATGTTGAAGCTATAGGATTCATCATACTATATTCATCCAAATGCTATCAGTAAAAATGGAATGCCTAGCTTCCTCTAGTTTCTTCCTCCGTAAGAACTCTATTATTTCAATTCTTGTATCCTCCACTGGCTGACCTTGGGCCAGTCACTGACTCTCAGCCCTACCTAGTGGCTGAAAACCTTGCTAAGTAAACTATAAGATTGGTTTAGTCTATTCAGAGTGATTTTGTTTTTATTGTTTTGAAATCAGGGTGCTTTTTCTGTTGCATTCATGGCCACAATCCTTATTAAAATATTTTTGATTAATTTGTTGAATCAGATTTCATAGAGTGGCTTGTAGTTTAGAACATGTACAAGCACACACAAGATAATCCTGTCCTTAGGGTTTAGTCTAAGAAGAAAGGGGAAAAAAAAGCAGAAAGTACATTCTGGCAGAAGTTCTGTACACAGTACACAAGCCTTATAAACACTAGAGTACACCAGAAGAGGAGGCCAAAGGAGCTGGTCTTTCAGAAGAGCAGGTGGGTTTGATCTGCTTCAGTCCTATATCTCCCTCTGGTAGCAGCGAGATGACAACCCAGATTTGACTTTGGATCACTTCACCTAGGCTGTGATGAAACAAGGCTTCTGTTCCTGCCTTGAAAATGACTGCAGGTCAGTCAAAAACTTGCACCAGAAAACAATGTGTAACTGGAATTTATTATCACGAGAAGTGTTAAAGTATTTTAGCATACTTTAAAACAGGAACTGATACATTCACAGAAAAAATATGATCCATTAAAGTACATCAGTGATGCTCTTCAGGACATCACCCATGCCATTTCACTTACAAAAAATATAACAAAAGTGTTGCATCTCACTCAACAGCCACAGTGTACTGAAAGCTACTTTTAATGCTTGGCATATCCAATCAGGACATGGAACAACTCCTAGCAATCTTTCCTTGTTGCCATTAACCATAGTACAAATGTCTGGGCAAGCTTCTCCCCCCCATGTTTTTTTATAGCATTGCTGTCTAAGAGAGATTATCTTTTATTACTGTGGCTTTAGTGTTTTCCCCTCATTTCAACACAGCTTTTGCTGTGGATAAAGTTTGATACACTTCATTGACCATTCTATGCAGCACGTGACTCCCTATGGCAGAGGTCTTCAAGGCATGCTGGTTGAGGAATTCTGGGAATTGAAGTCCACAAGTCATAAAAGGGACAAGTTTGAAGACCCCTGCCCTATAGGGTGACTGGCTCAGTACCTATTGGTCACTTTAAGCCTGCAGGCATACCTCTTTCCCTCTGGGCCCCTAAGCTTTCAGGTGTGGGCTGACTCCCTATATTGCCAGAGCTCCAAGTTGGTTTTAGAAGTTTGGTTTTGAAAGAGGAACCAACCCAGGTACCAGGCAGCCTCCCCCATTATCAGTCAGGTGAAAGAGGGAGATCCACCTTTCTGCATTTCCCCAAATCTCTAACCCCAGGGATTGGGAGGGGAGCAGATGAAGAAAGGAAGAGCCTTTCTTTAACCACTAGGTACCACAAGTGCATGAAGAATGAGTTGTGATATGGCTAAATCAGTGAGCAGGGTTTAGCCCTTTAAATGTCCCCTCCTTGGGTAGTTGTACTGTGATTGGAGAGTGATATTCCCTCCAGCTGATGTTGAGAAGGGTGAAAGGCAGTAAGCTCACCTTCTCTTTTTTCCTTCATGTGTCTGGCATATTGGAAATGAACCCTAGCCCTAAGTCAGGGATAAGGCTGTTCAGATCAGAAATGGGGACAACAAAATTAGTGCTTTTTTAGTTCCCGCTGTCTCAGGAGAAAAATTTAACACTCCAGAAGAATTACAAAATTTCCAAAATTTACAGAAATTTTCTCCCCAAATTTCTGCTAATTTATGGCTTTCAGGAAGGGGCAACAGGTGAGGTTTCCAACCTTTGTATTAAGAAATGCTGGGAATTGTAGTTCAGCAAAATTGCACTTGTGGGTGTTGACAACTCCAAAACAATTAGGTTTGGACTAGCGTGCTAAGGCTGCCAAAATCCCGATGCACTGGGTGGCAGTAAAGGGGGATAGACAATGTCAGCTTTTCTCTGACAACATTTAATTCAGATTCCCAACCTCCCAGGAAAACCACAGCCATGTGGCCTGCTCTTGTCTGGCTGAGTTGACATGACACATTGAACCATGAATGCTCTCTATCAGCTGCGTTCCCACAACAAACTAATCTAAATAGTGGTTGGCCAGGTGAAGCTTTCCCAACGGAGACAAAGGTGCACCTGTGTAGTTCTTGGGCCATTTGTTTTAAAAACAGTACTGCTCTCCAAATTGATCTATGCCTAGAAGCAACATGTCATACTCTTGTTGAGAGCTATGGCGCTTTATATCTAGGGCAGGATTCCAAAAAAATATCCCGGGCAACAACCCATCTTGGAGAGTCGTCGCTCGGATCAATGCACTCGGCGTATGTTCAAAGATTTTAATTCGCATAAAGGAAGGAGATAATTTGATACTGCCGACCTATTCTAGAGTCTTTCTCTCGTCGTCCTCCCCCCCACCCGTAATGTACTTAGTGTTTGTCTATTGTTATTTCATTGGATTCTCACATCAGGGATCCTCCCTTGCCGAATCCCGCTCTACTTTTCCCGCAAAGTTCTTCGCTATTCGTGAAACGGTCGGACTTCGGCCACTCGTGGCTGGGCAACCGCCGGGGGGCGCGCGAGGACGAACGTTGGGAGCCCCGGCGGCGGCTTAAGCGGTCCATGGAGCCGCCGGTGGAGGCCGGAGGCTCCGCGAGAGAAAGAGAAAGGGAGAGGAGGGAGCGAGAAGCGATGGCTTACGGCAACCCTGTGGTGAGGGTGAAAGAAGTGTGTGTGGGGGGAATTGGCGAAGGAAAAAAAAAAAGGATTGAAAGCCAGCCCAGGTTAAGCCCACCCTCTCGCCTAGAGTAGGAGGGGATGTTCAGTGCAGAGGAAGGCTGTGTTGACATCCATTTTCTGGATGAACATAAATACATGGACTGACTGACTAGGTTTGTAGCTAATCTGTCCCAACTAAGATTAATAGTAAACTGAGCATACTAGCAAATATATCTGGTGTCCTTTATCTGGCTTCAGTAGGTGAAGGGGGGGGAACCCACCTTGCTGAAGAGGTCTTTGAACAGATTAAATAAAGCAGGATGATGAGACACAGCCCAGCTGGTTTTAGAAGGCTGTGAAAGGGGATAGATAGGCTATAAGCAACAGTTGTTCAGACTTGGGCAGTTGGCCTCTAAATTCCTATTCACATTGTAAGATAAGGTGACTATAAGTAATAGTGGCTGCCTGTGAAGTTCCCTTGAATAGGATAAAAAGCTGGATTAGATTTGATTCACCAAGGGCTCCTACTCTGAGTAATCTGTCTTCCACATAATGATGCTGCAGGTGGCCTGCATCTTCTTCCACTCGGAAGAAAATCAGTCCCACCTATCACTTGGAAGTAGTTTGGGAATAAATGTAGGTTGAGTTTGAAACAATATCCCTGAAAAAATATTATAAGATAATCCTCTTTGAGTTAGTCTGAAGGGTAGCCATCTACTTCATTTGCTAGGTTAGACTGCCAGTAATTCTTTAGTTGACAAGAAATGTGTCTGAAAGTCAAACAGGAAGAATAATATTTAATGTAATTTACTTTGTTTTGAGCATTAAAGAATTTCATGCCACATATTTTCACTAATTATAACAAATTATGTTGAATCATAATAATTTACCTTTGAACACCTCACAATTTAGTGCTGAATTCAAATTTGAAATTTTCAGCTGGTACTTCTGACCTTCAGAGTATCACAGTTCCAAAATAAAATGAAACAGGTATCTGAAATGTTTTGTTTTTTGATTCAGTAAATCTAGAGTTCAGACATAGACCTGCTGTTCACAAAAATGCTCATTGTTTCTTTAAAAGGTCATCTGCTTCAAATTACTTGTTTGAGGCTGTGTGTATATAATTTAGTGCCTGCTTTGTATTTCTGTTCACCCAAATAATAAATGATAAAAAACCCAGAAGAAATCTAGTTGGAAAGCTTTTGTTAACAGAAGGACTGCTTTATAGTGAGTACTTAAAAGAATTAAACTAAGCCCATGCTTAAATTAATTTGGTATCTTTCACAATGACTCTGATCTAATTTGAATATAGTTTGGATCTGAATGCAAAACAGAATCAGTTCAGATTTGCACTGCATTTCAGAACAGATTTTAAAAACTGCAATACATTTAAGATTATAAAATGCCAGCATTTATTTATTGTGACATTAATATGCAATTCATCCCATTAAAAAAAAAACATTTACTGCCTAGTGTAAAAAGCCTAAGATTCTGTTAGCTTAGGAGCCAGGGCAGATATCAAAGAGAGTGTGTATATAAATGAGCATGGATAAAATATTTGTGTGCATTTATGAAAACATTATAGAAAGAAAAGGTTGGTAAAAGAGTATTTTGCCAACTCTCAAGAGTCTCTGTTTCTTGGTCAGAAAAGAAGCTACTGAACATTTCCTTATCCCTTTTCTTCCTGCTGTTTGCTCTCTCAGTGAGGGCTACTGAACAACAAGGAGATTAAAGAATTACTGGTAAAAGTTCCTGGCTGGCACCTAACATGCTGATTTTGATAAAGTGATCAGCATCTTTAAAAGAAAGGTGATTGTTGCTCATCCTCTAATTTTGGATAATGCAATTAGTTAAACTTTTTAAAAAACATTTTTAAAAAGGAAAAATAAAGGATTTTCTTTTTACTTAAAATTTTAAGGAGGGTGTGGCCTTTGTTGACACGATGAACAACATATTGTACAATAAGGCCAGGTAGAATATTTAAGACTTCAGCCTTTGCATGATTCAGCTTGCTTCCTCTTTTTCTGAGTGAGTTGCACTAGCAATCCAACATTTGCACTGGTATCTTTTGAGGACAATTACATGACTGTTAACTGTTCTTTCTTCTCTTGTTATGTACCATCACAATTGGGGATATAGGTAGGAAATCTGGGACCTGGATTTTAATAGTCTTTTATGGAACTTTTCTTTACATGTCCATATGCCTTCTTTGGGACTAGGCATGCATGTGCTCATAATTTTTGGGATAATTATGCATTCTACAGGAAAGGAGTAACAAATATGAAACCAAAAAAGAATTAAAGGCCTGAGATTTAAAAAAAAGAAGCATACTAAAACAATTTATACACAGCACCATTCACTTTCAGTAAGTTTTTATCCTTGCAAATCCTCTTTGCTTCTCCTTTTCTCTAGACTTATTTACATCCCCTTAATTTTATTTTTTGTTTTTGAAAGTCAGTCTTCAATATCTGTATAAATTCTATATATAAACCAAATCACCCAATGTGCATTTTTTGTGCTGGTTACTGAATTTTTATATTCAATCTCCAGTCAGCATCCATTTATTCTTGACCAATTTATTCTTAACAAAAGACAAAATTCTGAGATTCAATGTTTCTGCACCCAGTAATACAGCTTTAGATGTATTATCTGAATGGAATATAGAACCCCAAAGCAGCTCATCTCTTTCTGCAATTTATATGTTGTGCAGCCTAAATTCTACAAGTCGGTCATTGATGATGTGATTGAAGGAGTCCGAGATGTTTTTGTGGAAGAAGGTGTAGATGAACAAATTCTGAAGGAGCTCAAGCGGGTTTGTTATAACTCCATTTCTCCAACCTATCTTATTTTTTAATCATTTCTAGTTGGTAATAAGTAGATCAAATGCCCGTTTTTGATAGATGTGCCCAATTTTTCAATTGCCACTGGTTTTGTCCATATTGAACAATTGAAAATGCTGCTCTGTATTATGGGATTTTGAGATGAGTCATATTTTTTCTAATAATGGAATGATGAAAACATTTCTCCAACAATATACATTTGAGATTATAAGCTTTGCAACCACCAAATAGATTCTGGGCTGAATTAATATTTTTTTTTTGTGCTATGTCTCATTTGCTATGTAAGTTCTTCTTTTAGCTGTTGAAATTCTACTGAAATTATTTAGAGAAAGAAGTTGCAATGGTTGGTGCCCATATTTCTTTGAAAAGTATAGGATTGTTGCCAACAAAGTTTAATTTCCTGCAGATACCAGAGAGAAATCAAAGGAGAATAAACATTTTGTAGTTGTTCCTCACAATTATTGACAAATATATCAGACGAGGTTGTGAGGGTTTGGATGGGGAGAAACCATCTCTGACTCAATCTGATCAAGACAGAATGACTGTGGGTGTTTAACTTGCCAAATCTTGGGTATTCCATTTCTGATCTTGGATGGGATAGCACTTCTCTTTCAGGGTTGCGATGCAGTCTGAAGGTCTTCCTGGGCTGGCAGCTCCTGTTTGAAGAACAGGTGTCAGCTGTGGCCAGGAAGGCCTTTACACAACTTCATCTGGTGCACCAACTGCACCTTTCTTAAATTGGGTGCCCTTCATCATTCATACCCTAGTGGTGTGACTACTGCAGTGTGCTGCTCTTGAAGGCCATTCAGAAGCTTCCACTGATCCAGAATGTGGTGAAATGAATAGTAATAGGAATGCCTTGGTATGCCCACATAGAGGTAATCTTCACTTAGCGACTGCCCTGTTTAACAAACTTTCAAAGTTAGTACAGTGTAAAAAAACCTTTGTGACCAATTCTCTTCAGGAAAGGCCTCTGCAGCTGAGAACAGAGCTCCAGTTTGATGTACGTGTTACTCCCCAGCCTCTGTTTCACCGGCAGAGGCCTTTTCATGAAGGCCTCTGCTGGTGAAATGGAGGCCAGGGGGGCAACACACGCATCAACACACCTCTGTTTTCGACTGCAGAGGCCTTTCCTGAAGAGAATTGGTCACAAAGGTTTTTTTACACTGTAGTAACTTTGAAAGTTTGTTAAACAGGGCAGTCATTAAGTGAAGATTACCTCTATGTGGGCATTCCAAGGCATTCCTATTACTATTTCCTGAAGGTCTCTGCCTGCGAAATGGAGGCCGGGGTCAATGTGGGTGAGTGGCAGCGAACGGCTGCAGAAGAGGTGGGCTGGCGGCGGCCACGTGGACTCCTGCTGGATGGGACTGTTGGTCCTCCACTGTGAGGCAAGATAGCGGAAAAAAAAGGACATCCCCGAAAATAATGCCTCTTTTGGAGGCAAAAAAATATATAAGACCAGATATTATTTTCGAGGAAACACGGTATAGCCATTTTACATGAAATAGAAAAAAAATGAATTTATGATTTATGGATTTGATGATTAGAAAAAAAGATATAAAAAGAAGGTTTTTTGTAAACATAGAATAAGAGGTAATTTTGTACAGTATTTATACTTGTGATTGCTGTAAAAAAAATCAGAAGCTACTTTCTATTTCTTTTTCATCCTCTCTTTTCATACTTTTTGTTTTTTCATTTTTTTCTTTTTTATTTCTTTTCTTCACTTTATATTGGTTATTGTTAATGTTTATCTCATTTTTAACATTCTCTATTCAAATTATATGAAAAAAGAAGAAAAATCACCACACCTAATGTGGATGAGCTTTTTTCATTTTATCTATGTGTTTTAAATTTTTTTCTTGCAGCGCTGGGAAATGAAAGTGATGCAGTCTAAAGCAACTGAAGGTTTCTTCCACCATAGTCATGTTTTGCCCCAGTTTACCCTGCATCTTCCATCCAGCTTCCAAGCCCTGCAGACTACAGGTTGATGACTGATTTCTTTCAGCAAAGATTGTCTTAGGAATCATTGCTCAGTATGAAAGCATGGACTTCAATTCAGCTCCTGCATCTTCGCTGTGGGATGAGCCGGAAGCGATAGAGAATAATTTGTCTTTTTCAGAGATACCTAACACAAAGTTCAACACCATTCTGTGTCTTTTATGGGAATCAAACTCACCTAATTGCCAACAATATGATGGAGATTTTTTTTTTTTTTTGGCCAGAGCTACCTTTGCCTTTAAGAAAATGTTTGAGCTTGGAGGGCTGCAGGGAATATGCCATTCCTGATTGAGGCGGGGGGGGGGGGGGAACGCTGAACATTTGGCCTTTCTATGTTTAGAGTCTTAAGGGTTATTTTATTTAAAAAGTGTGCATTAAGATAAGTAGGACATATTATTTGGAAAATTATTTCTTTTAAAGAAAAATTAAAAATGAAAAGCAAATTTGCCACTGAATTTCAGTGCAATGATTTTGACAAATGTGGTGCTGGAGGCCACATTTGACCTGCAGAATATGACCAGCTGATCTATTGTGTATTGCACAGAAATGTTCTTGTAGATATAAAAATATAGCCAGAACCTAATGGCAAAATAATTCAGTGAAGGTGTTTCCTTTTTCAACTCTAGTGTGACTCAGAATTGGCTGTATTTGCACATCAGATTAAGTCTGAATTTTGAAGACTTCCTTGCTTGCTACTTGTTTACTCCTGCTGACTCCTCCTGCCTGTGGAGTAGGCTAAACAAATCATAAACACTACCATGATATGGGAAACCAAAGAACTGACTTGTTCTCTTCCTAAGTTTTATAACAAAGCATAGTTACAATGAGTGGCCTCATTCTAATGTTGGTCAAGTGTTACAAATAAATGAATATTTTCTGGGCTTATTCTCATTTAACAATTAGTACAAATTCTAATGTCAGTCTCTCTTGTTTATAATGTATGTACCAAGGGTATACAAAATGTGAATTTTATACATTCCAGACCAGCTTTTTTATATGGGCAACCTCTAAACCTGTGTGGTTCAGTTCTCAGAATTATCAGTGGGCATTCATTTGAGATTAGCAGCAATTTAAATTTCGTTAATAGATAAATGTTGCTGGGGAATGATAAGGCTACAAATTCACATCAGAAGTACCCAAAGTAGAAAAGGCAATTCAAAAGAAATTCAATTGTTGAATGATGTTTAATCTTTTATTTAAATAATATTTCTTTAGGTGTTACTGCAAGCAGAGGAATGCATCAGTTCGCTAACTCTACAACACCAGCAGTAGCAGCTGAACTAGTATGTAACTTTGATATTTCCATATAATTTTAACATTTCAAAAAAGATGAAAATGTTAATTCAGCCATGAATGGCGAGGCAAGTATCTGTGCTTTGGGATGGAAAAATCCCTTCTGCCAAAAGTGGACAGAGTCCCAGGTAAGACATATGTAGTGCCCCAGGGGACTGGAAGCTGCTCTTGGAGACCTGATGCAGGCCACACAAGAGTTGTGGGGGTACTGCAGACACATGTCTTCACTCCAGGGAGTATTTTCAGCCCCAAAGTGGAGAGCCTTGTCCTCAGCACCCCCCAAATTCTATGTGGTCTCCGTAGGGCCTTCCAGGACTTCCCCCACTATCCTGAGACATCCTGCTGTCCTTACCTGGGAGATTGTCCACCTAACCATCTACAAGATCACTCAACAACCACAACTGTGAGTGCTGGGATTGTAGTTGTTGAGCAAAGTGGTCACATGACATCTTGCTTAACCACTGCTTTGCTCAACAACAACATTTGGTCTCAGTTGTAGCCATAAGTTGACATTACCTGCATAGCTTTAATATATTCCATATTTTTGAATAATTCGCATAGTCAAAGGCCTAGTTAAAATCAATCAAACAAAGTTAAAGCTCATTTTGGTATTTTCTTGCTCTGTTATTAATTGGTAATTATGTGATTTTGTTTTCCTCTGCCTTTCATTTCACATTCATTTGGTATTTCTCTTTTTATGTATGACTTTGTTTTTCATCATAAAAAATTAAGTGAAATGTTGCTTGCATAAGGATAATTGGTAATTATGCAGTATCTTGCATTCCTCATAGGTAAAGTTATACACTGATCACCAACATGTAGATCAAAGTTTCTTGCTCTACTGTATATTTGTTAGCATAAAACTTTGCCTTTTAACAGTTTGCACTTTAACACACTCCTGTAGATGGTTAGCAGAATTATTTTTCTGTGAAAAATGAAATTGTAAGAAAATATGGGTAGATTACAAATGAGACTCCCCATAAAACATTTTGAGTGTGGTGAAGCATTTGAACAAAATGCACAAACACAGAGATAGAGATATAGAGAGAAGAACTGGGTCACTGTCAAGAGAGCGTGACCATCACCGCCCCATGTGCATGACTGCCGATCGTGACTGAATACCACCGTGTTACGTGCCCTGTCAGGCAGAAGTGCCAGCTTGAGAGACCCCCTTGGGCTGGCAGCCATCTGAAGAGGAGGTCAAGAGGGCCCGAACTTAAGCGGTCCCTGCAGGGGTGGCGCTACAGTATATACCTATTTTCATTAATCTAAATACTATATGGGTTTATATAAGTGCACACACATGCAAACAGGATTGTATTGCAAAAAACATTCAAGGCAACTTCCATTAATTAAATATTTAGGTCTTCTAACTCCCTCACTGGAAGTCTTTGGGTAAAGGCTATAAAGCCATTTCTTAGATCTGCTTCTAGCTTTGGGTTTTTTAGACTGTAATTGGATGGTGCCTCCAATTCCATAATTCAGTAAAACAGTCTACCTAGATTAATTCAAGAAGAGACTGGACAGCCATTTGTCCAGAATAGAATAGGATGCACTGCATGAGCAGGGGGCTGGACCAGAAGGCCAACCCTATTATTCTATGTTCTATGTTTCTAAGATTCTTTGTTGGAGGAATAGAATCAATTCAATTTCCCTAAATTTCACTTTATAATCCTCAATTTCCAGTCAGCTCCTCTAAAAGATTGAAGCATGTTCAAGTAACTATGCTCAAGGAAAAAAAAAATCCTCCTTAATGGAGATAGAATTCAAAATCTGACGTTTCTTAAATGACAGGGTATTTTTGGAGATCTGTAAAGGAAAAGAAAAAAAAAGTGTTTTTCACAGAGACATAGCCAGAATGTAGAAATGCAGAATTAAATATTGTTTGGCATTTCATATTAGAGGAACCTCTTCTTGCATGTTGAAACTCCTGGGCGGTTCTAGTTCTTATAGTGACAAGAAAAAGAACTTCAAAATAGGTAGGAAGTCTATACAAAACCAAAGAAGAACTGAACATGATTTCCTGCCACATGAGATAAGGTTTTGATGCCCTATTTCGTATTACTTTGGAAAATAAAGTTGCGTAATTTATGTTAATAAAATAGAACATGGGCTGCTCTGATCTAGGATACTACAACTTTGGACATAGTAACTGAGTGATTTTTCCTGATAAGCTTTCTTTTATTTAGGAGTCTTCCCAGTCTAGTGGGGCCATCTTTTCTCTGGCTTCTGGCCTTACCTATCCTATTCAAATGCCTCCTGGTGTGACTCTTCAGACAGCATCTGGTAAGAGTTAATGGTGTAGCCTTCATCAGTGTTTCTCTGCCTCAGGATTTTTAAGACAGGTGGAATTGCTTGCTGGGGTAATTCTGGGTGTTGAAATCCACCCATCTTAAAGCTCCTGAGGTTGAGAAACACTGGCCTTGAGCATAATTTATGTAGTAAGCAAAATAATAACAACAACAACAACAACAACAACAACAATAATGACAAATGCATACAAAGTCAAAATTGAGAAGACAGCAACAGACAGTAAGTGCCGCCTATGCAAAGAAGCTGAAGAAACAGTGGACCGCCTGGTAAGCTGCTGTAAGAAGATCGCACAGACTGACTACAAGCAGCAGCATGACAAAGTAGCAACAATGGTGCATTGGAAGATCTGCAAGAAATATCATTTGCCTGTAAGCAAAAACTGGTGGGATCATAAAATAGAGAAAGTCATAGAAAATGATAAAGTTAAACTGCTCTGGAACTTCAGAATTTAAACAGACAAGCACCAGCAACATAACACTCCAGACTTAACAATTGTCGATAAGAAAGACAAAAAAGTCTGGAGAGTGGACGTGGCAGTGCCTGGAGACAGCAGAATAGACAAGAAAGAACTGGAGAAGATAACAAAATATAAAGACCTACAAATGGAAATAGAAAGACTGTGGCAAAGGCAAGCAAGGGTAGTAGCAATAGTAATAGGCTCCTTGGGTGCAATCCCAAAACAACTGGAGCACCACTTGAACACCATTGGCATTGACAAATTCGCCATTAGTCAATTGCAAAAGGCGGCCTTACTAGGAACTGCTTCCATCCTGCGACGATATCTGTAATACCATCTAACATCCACATCTGTCTATCGCAGGTCCTTGGTAAGGACTCGATAGGTAGACAAAAATGCCAAACCCAGTCTGAACATCTGGCTGTGATGATCAATAATAATATAAAAATATAAACTTACCAAGAAAAAGGAAAAACTGCAGTGTGGACAACTGTTTGTATAGGGGAGAAGTAATAACAATAATGATTTGATAGACTAATGCTGGTGCTGATACTTTAATTAAAGAAGCTTGCATACTGGAAAGAAATTCTGTCTTAGCCACTGTGAGTTTCCTACAGCTTTAAGTTCAAAAGCACAACATGAAGCAATAGATAAGGGGAGTGTATCCTGGCTTAGCAGAAAGGTAGCTTGGGTACTTTAAAGAGCATTTAAGGCAATGGAAAATCATATGTGAGCGCTTTCCCTAACATCCCTTTTGGATATTGTAAAATACTTCTCCAGTGCTAAGTTGGAGTGCTAGCTGTCCACCCACCCACCCTTGAGACAACAAGGCTGGTATGAAATTTGCTGTCCCTATTCTATTGCCTCTTTCCCCTCTTTGATTTCCCTCCAAGATAATGGACAACAAAGCCTAAAATATTTTATTGTGGCAGCGTAAGAATAAGGGAGACACAAATACTTTAATTAATATCAACAGAACTGAACACGAATTAAACCTTTTTCACATATTGCCTGAGGATGGGATGAAGGCAGTGTCATATCTGTGCTGTAATGTGCAAGTGGAGAAACGTTCTTAGAGTTCATGGTCATGCAGATTCTGAATTGCAGCTCATCTGTAGGGTGCCAACTGAGGAAGACTAATGTAAGAAACAAGGAAGGGAATATTTGTTGAAGAGGGAATGTACAATCTTTCACTTATCCAAAGATAGAGGGAGCATTCTTCTTTTCTTTCTCCTTCCTCTTTAGCCAAACTAAGAAATAATGTTTGTGGGCATGTAATTTGTGTAATATAATATAATTTGTATCGGCCTGAATCAGTCCACTGCAGGATGAAAGCTTCTTCACTAATTATAGGGCTGACTGAACAAGTGACTGGGCCAAAATTATCCAGTTGGCTACTATGTTGACATGTACTCTTTCTCACTGTATATGAAATGCAGCGATAATGATAACAGCCTTCCAATGCAAAGAGACTGGTCTGTGTACATTAGTGTTGCAATGGGAAAATAATAAGTGAGATGGGGAGTGCAGAAGGGGCAATGTGCATTTTTAGGAGTGTGATCTTTGTTCCATATTTGCCTTTAAAACATAAAAAATTCATATTAACTTTAGCGGAGGAGTGAGGGCAAACTTATTAGTTTGGAGGAGCACTTTTCTCCATCTCCCTGGAACCATCCCTGCTTGTATATTCTCTTCTGCTTCTTTACAGAGTTCTAACTGTTGATCGATAGTGGTTGGAGGGAGGTAAGATTTTGAGTGGCATATTTGTTCAGTCGTTCTCGCTTGCAGGATGGGTGGCCATATGCAGCAAATGGAATAAAACGAATACATACTAGACATTCAGGTTGGCTGCCAGAGAATTTCATTAGGCCAGGTGATTTCATTAGGGCTGTGAAACATTTCAGGTTCCATTCTAGAAAGTTGCTGGATTGTACCATTTCTGAAGGTGCCCTGTCTTTTCCTGAATTTGGGCAGCTGGCACATTATCTTGGAAAAAGATGTGCTATTTTAAAAAGTTGCAGGCAATTGGTATGTTTGCTGCCCTGCATGCTTTGAGCAGCCTTTATGGACTAAATGCGAAAATACTGCATAGTCCTAACATCCACAATGTCTGCTTTTTTCTTCTTGTAGGGCACTTGTATAAAGTCAATATGCCTGTGGTTGTCACTCAAACTACTGGTGGAGGAACTGCCATCCAGACTCCACTTCAACAAATATTCCAGCAAGTTGGGAAGCAATCCTTGGTGCCTCAGCCAGCCCCAGTCAATATTATACAGGCAAACACATCTTCTCTTCAAGAAATCAGCAATGGTAGCTTGCTGACCTCAAAACCTGCTGTGCCCCAGCATCTAAAGATGGGGGATAAAGACCTGCTTGGGGCTACTGCTGCCACACTAAAAGCCACCAGAAGTCAGGGGGAAGTTGCAATAGGGACTCTGGTAAGCCTGAAACCCTCAAGTTCTTTACAGACTCCCCAGATAGCCATTACAACTCTTCCTGTTGCAAAGTCATCTGGATTAGACAACCCCAGGTCCAGAGAAGCAAGAGAAGTCATTTCTTCTGGTGGGGGACAATTGTCTGTGAATCTTGAGCAGCCTCCGGACTCTGATGATATAATTGAGCTGATAATTATGGGCAATGACTTGGATGACACTGCCCTTCTCTCTGATGAAACCAGCCTCTCTCTTGTTGAAGAGGTAACTCTGCTGTTTTTTTAAAATGTTAAAATATTTTTAATATTGCTGCTTAAAAAGAGCTTATAGATATAATTTAAAAAATGTATTTATACACAGCTTGAATAGAAATGTAGAATGAGCTTCATCACAGAGTTGCTTTGCAGATGAGATAGACGGCATATATATTTACTAAATGAATAAAAATAAAATCATCCCACTTAAAAGCAATAGCAAAACACCTATTGATTTTACTAAAGTTGAACAGTCTTCACAGTTTTAATGTGTTGTGGGGCAGAAAGTATTGTATAATTTTAAAAAGATGTATCTCTTGACTGCGTGCTTTTCCATAGCCTTTCAAATCTTCACTTCTTTTTAGTTAGATACCAGTGTGCAAATGGAATCAGACCTGCTGGCCCAGAAAAATATTTCAAATGATCTTGAAGAAATCATTCAACTAGATGGGACAAGTGATCTTTCACCCAAAGCAGAAATAGAAAGTCCAAGAGATGGAGAAGATGAAGAGCTTGTTGGTATAATTGATGCTGAAGATTTAAAAGTCCTGGATGAGGAAGAAGAGGAAGGTGAAAATAGCACTTCAGACAATCAGTCTCTCAACAGTGCTAGTGATGCTGATGAATCCTCAGTTGATATTGTTGAGGAGGTAAAGCTTCCGAATGTTTACAATGATTTGCTTTCACTTTTGCAGCATAGTCTTAACTTGCATAAAGAAAACAGAATTACAGTGGACCTTTACAGCTGTCTAGTCCTTCACTGATGAATTACTAAATCCTTACCTCAGCTCTAAAGGCCTCTAATGAAGGTGTTTTTTTCCATTAATGAATAGGGCATCATTCTTAATAATAATCATTCGTATAATCTGAACCTGTTAGTTAAAAAAGAATGGGCAACCTGGAGCCATCAGATATTTTTGACTAAAATTTCTATGGTTCTTTGCCATTGACCATATTGGTTGGGTCTAATGGATGCTGAAGTTTCTCGATAGCAATAGAGCACTAGTTTGTCCTATTATCTGAGTGAAGCCCTTCAACTATTTGAACATAGCTATCAGATCACATCTTAAGAATCCATTCTGCAGATTAAATGCATATACTTTCTTCAAGCTTCCCTCCAAGGACTTGAGGAAAACATAGATCTCCCCATTCAAATCTGTGCTCACAATTGGATACACTTGTAGTGCAGGTACTGTACAGGTAGTCCTTGACTTACAACAGTTTGTTTAATGCCTATTCAAAGGTATAACAGCACTGAAAAAAGTGATTTATGACTATTTTTCAAACTTACAACCATTGGAGTATCCCCATAGTGATGTGATTAAAATTGAGATGCTTGGCAACTGATTCATATTTATGATGGTTACAGTGTCTTGGGGTCATGTTTTCAACTTTTGCGACCTTCTGACACGCATAGTCAATGGAGAAGCCAGATTCACTGAACAACTGTGTTACTAACTTAACAACTGCTGCGACTTAACAACTATGGCAAGAAAGATTGTAAAATGGGGCAAAACTAAGTGAGACATTAATTTTGGGCAACAGAAATTTTGGGCTCAATTGTGGTTGTAAGGTGAGGACTACCTGTATTACAATGATGGGAAATGTACATGTGTTGTTTATACATCATTTAACTTGAAGAGGTGATGTAAATTTGCAATGTTCACTTCTGGACAAGACACTTCTGGACAAGATACTTTTAAGCAAGCTTCAATTGAATAGTGAGTCCATTGCATGCTCTATTTTAGTTAGATTTGCAACTTCCTGGAAATAACTTGTTTCTTATTGCTTCTGGTAATTGTGTGTGCACAATTGTGTCCCTGCAAATCCCAAAGATGCTCCCTATCCTGAACAATTTTGCATTTTCTTTTTTAAAATATTGAGTATTGGTGCTGAAAAATATTTAATTAAAAATGTGCAAAAACCTGGTTAATAAAAATAAAGTGTGCAGAATTTACCTCCCAGAAGGCAAAAAGGGGAGTGGAGAAGTAATTGAGACAGGACATCTTTTGAGGGATAAAATTGAGGAAAGTGAACTGAATTATTAGCAGAAAAAGTAATTTGAAGTCATTTATTGCTAAACTCTCCATAATGTTCTTTTTTTATAGAAAGAATGCAGACAGCAACTCTTTTGAGGAAGCATATTTGTCTGGGAGCTCTATTTAGTATCTGTAAAGTTGAAACAATAGATACCTTAATAGCATTCAGTAATGTGCCATCAGGAAGGAGGAAGTTGCAACATAACTGCTATAGGTATACTACTGATGCATTTTCCCAAATTTTTACTTGAAAAGGCACAACAGAGCACCTGAGGAAGCAGTGTGCTTTGTTTGGCCCAAGGTAATTTTATAGAGGCTGGCAACATCTGCGATGCTCTCTGAGTTGTACCTTGCTTTGCAGACCCTGCATCAGATACAGAAGTGGACAAAAGAACTCTATGAATTTGTTTGGTCTTTGTTGTGGTGGCAGGAACCCTATATAATAGCTCTGCAATATATTATAATGAGGATTAGGTACAGCCTATTTTAATAAAATAGCTAAATGCTAGTCAAAACTTTTTAGGTTAAACTTCTGGGGTGTTTGTTTCTTTGCAGGATCCTTTAAATTCTGGTGATGATGTTAGTGAACAAGAAACACCTGATGTTTTTGACACTGATAATATAATTGTATGCCAATATGACAAGGTATGTTTAAGTACGGTATTTTTCTTTTAAAATGACCTCTGAGACTTCAAGTCAGCCTTCCTTAACATCAAATATGTCAGGAGTTCTTCTCCCATGAGACTGGAAATTTGAGAAGATACAGATATTGTAACATAATTCCATAGTGCCAGATTGGGGCAGGTCCCTAATACATTTATATTTTTAAGCATGTATTTAAAAATAGCTTGTGTTCTGGACCCAGAAATAATCAAATAACATGCTTGTTTTAATTCCCCTTTAATATGAACCCCCTCTTATATTTATATAATTGAATAGCATGCTTATTAGTCCCCATGCCCATGAGCTAGTGAAAGATTACGCAAAAAATAAGACAACAACCCTATGGTGAATGATGACCTCTTCAATCGTATGTTGTCTTTTTATGGAATTGTCTCATATGCTTGCTGAGGTTTCAGAAATCCACGCAAAAAGAATTAAACCTGAGCAGAACCATGTGGTTAAATGTTGATGTACTTTAAAAGAATTGGACCTTTGGATTCATTAAGAAAGCTAATCATTTGAGTGTGAATTTTTCCCATAATGTTACATAACTGGTGACCATGGCACGTGCCTTTAGACACATTGCATTTTTAATAATACAGGGGTGGGAGATAGTGAAACAATTAGATACGTGGAAAACAGATCTTGGCATAACGGAGATGAACAGGTGTTTGAACAGGTGTTGGTGCTTCATTTCTCTCTCTTCAGAGCTAGCAAGGCTTATTTCCAAAAGCTTGCTCAGGACAATTTCGATTAAGTGAGAGTGGGAAAGAGTAAAATCATAAAGGCCCAAGTGATGTTCAAACAAATCTATACACCTCACCGAGGTAAACAGATCTAACACTTTTCTCAGTTGTTCAGGAGATCATGAGAACAGTAGCTTGATGACTGTAAGAACGACATAAAGCATCTTTATGATGTGATGTGATTTCTCAGCACGTTTTCAAGGTCCTGTCGTGAAAATCATGCAAGTGCTGTCCCATATATTAGGAGAGAGACCAGCAAATTCAGGGAAACTGTAAGACTTGCCACCCAATGAAAAAGTTTTAGCATCATCAGGGATCTTGCTATCATTTGGGAAAGGGACAAAAATGGAGAACATATTAATAGAGTATCCCAGAAGGAATCATGACTGGAATTCTAACAGGAGGTTTCTTTCTGCAATGTTTTTCCTGCTTCTAAATTACTGTAAGGTTTTCATTATTAACTTGCCCTCCATGGTTTTGGTTCTAATATTAGGCTGGTATGTCAAGTAACTTTCTTTTTCATTACTTATAAAAGAAAGCATCTTTTCTTTTAGTGAACTTTCTAATCACCAGGATGCAATGCTTTCAAAGCCAGGACTGAGGGATCCGACCTTTTATGTTTCATTAGGTTCAGCGAAGTAAGAACAGATGGAAATTCTACTTGAAAGATGGTGTGATGTGCTTTGGGGGAAAGGACTACATTTTCTCCAAAGCCATTGGAGATGCAGAGTGGTGAAACTTACAGAAATATCTGCAGGATTTTTAAAAACTATTTTGTAAAATTCTGTAAGGAAATATTGAATTTTTTGTGTTCTGGAAATAATTCACATGAGGAAAGTATGTGACTCTATAAAAATCCAGTATTGACAATTACTGTGTGTTGATCAATCTCAGGTTAATCTGTATGAATCAGTAAATATATCTACTTGCTCCTTTCCTAGGTTGGTGCCCTCCAGATGATCTGACTGTCTGTCTGTCTGTCTGTTTCTCTCTCTCTCTCTCTCTCTCTTTCACACATGCACACACACACATGCACACACTCATACTCCCCTTATTCATTCCTCCAAATGCACATAAGTCACTCAGGTTGGTTTACAGCAATTGAAATCAATATAAAAAACTGAAAACATTTTGAAGAAAAAAATGGAAAACATATCCAGTAAATCCATAGTAAGCAAAGACAAGAAATAGCAACTTCTGAAATTGACATGATCTCTAGAGAGATGGCACATAAAAACACAAGAATACCCCTATTGCCAAGGCCAGTCTGAGGCAAGTATTTTGTTTCTTGCAGTGGCTCACCAGAGACTTTTGAAGTGCTATAAAAGGAGATGGACCTGCAATAGTGTGCTGATAACTATTTAACTATTAGCTCTTGCAGTTCCATTGCTCCATTGCTGCCAAGCTGACGATAGTGGGCTAAGTGTCTGGGCTCATCACTGAGTTCAACCGGCTTGCAAAATTCCCGAAAATGTTAGTCGGCTCTCACAAGCTGGTATAAACCAGCTTCACTACACCACTGCAGACGTATCTAATGTACCAATTAGTTTTGGAACTCTTGAGTCCAACAAGGCTGATCCTGGTCTCTATAGTCATCTTTCATTATTTACTCTTGAGGGTGGGACAGAGGATTGGTTACATTTATAGGTAAAATATATTTTTGTTTTAAAATACACTATTCCCCTCTGAAATGTAATATATACCGTATATAGCTATCTAAATGTGCATTTTTCATGCTTCCCTCATAAGCAGCATGAACAGTCTACTTTCAGATGGCATGGACCCTGAACTAAAATGATTGTCTGCTTAATTGCTGGGAGATAATTCTATGACGATCAATAATACCCAGCTTCATTTAGAGTAAAGTCATAACTTCCCCTCTGAAGACTTTTAAGTTGATAGCTGCCACCAGTTTTTGTGGTAAGCAAATTTCTTAAGAAGTACAAGGAAGAAAAGACCAATTGTCCTAGCAAGCTTTCAGTGTAAATGGTGATTGTGGATGCATCACAGAATAAATATAATTCTCTCCAGAAAAATATTGTTTTTTTATTTGGGGCATCAAATGATTTAGATAGGTCGGTGTGGGTAAATTAGTAGCATTTTTTAGTGTAGCTATAAATCTGGATTGTTTGGTACAAAGGTAAACCACTTACTTCATATTCCAAAATATTGAGGATCACTACTTCCCATATTTGAACAGTTAGACCCATAGACCAGATGGGATATCTCAGCAAATAGTAGCTCCTAGCTGACCTAGTCTTGGCTTGGAAGTTAAGCAAGATTAGGCCTGGTTACAACTAAGATGAAAGACCAATAGGGAACAGTTGAGCTCTAAGTGAATCTTTCTCAACCTTAGCAACTTTAAAATGTATGGAGTTCAGCTCCATCCAAGCAAAGCTCTCTCAGTCTTTCCCTTCCTCTTGACCAATTAACTCTTCCTCCATATGTTAGTTTTGCAATTCAGTCATTTATTCACTCTTTCTATATAAACAAACCATATCAATATATTCCTTTCATTTCTTGCACTCACTTTTGTATCCATGTTTCTTCAGCAATTTTAACAGGTATAGACTTCAAATTCCAGAATTCTCCAGCCAGTTACCAAGGTTGAGAAACACTATTCTAGAAAATGCAGTAAAAATTGCTAGTAGAGAAACACGAGAGAAGGAAGCAGGGGTGTCTGCAGGGCATGGTAAAAAAGACAGAGATTGTGGCCAAAATGATGAGATCAAGGCTCTGTGTCAAGGGGAGAGAGCATTTACCATAAAGTTGCACCATTCAGAGCAAGAATGCTAAGGTTTCCATGATTTTTGAATGGTCCAATTCAGGTGCTTAGCAGTGAATAAAAGAGGATGGTAATGCCAAAAAAGGTCTCTTATCACAGAGTAATAGAAATCAAATGATTTCTGTTCAGATACAGAATTCATAATTCTACATTCAGTTTCAATGCTTGACACCCCTACGTAGGACTGTAAATGCCCTGTCTAAAACCATGTAAGGTTTCTGGTAATCTAAGATCACATATTAGCATACTTGTGAGTCAGTTGAAAAAACATGGTTAAGAAAACACCATAGCTTGATGCAATAGTTAAACTGAAGGAGGGTGGCGTATTCTGAACTGGGATGCACCAGTGATCTGACTAAATAGAAAAAGCTTTTCTTAGAGTTTTGAAAGTAGAATTTGTGACCTTTTGCTATAGAACTTTTATATTCTCAAACTGCAGCCAAAACAATGTTTTATGCTGGACAGTTGCAAAGCATTCAAATGTATCATCATTCTGCTGTTGCAGCAGGTTGTCACAAACTAAAGTCAAATCTTATTGGCAGTTTTTAACTGTGGCATTAAAACTTTTTAAGTTCCTAGCTAAGAAATCAATGGAAGCATAATTAACTCTGATTTACGTTTTAAAGACATTTGTATTCTTGTATTAAGGACATGTTTCATTATGTTATCTACAGAAGTGTCAATTCATTCTCCAGCAGATCGTGCAAAGTGTCTTGCTAATTTCCCCTTTTCTATAGTTATAAACTGAGAGTGTATTGGTGCAATGCATCATTGTAGATTTGAAAGAAATTGCTTGCTAATTTCTTCCACGAGCATGTTTGCAGGCTTGCAGACTGACTGAACTGAAAAATTCCTAATCAAAACTGAAAATGTAATAACACTGTAATGAGATTATACATGTATTTCACAAAGAAAGCTTGAGGCTTGGCAACAAAAAGGATGTGTTAGAAACAATTCACATTTGGTTTTTAAATGACAAACTGAGATCTATATTTTTATTAGAATTTCTGTAAGAAATAGATATCTTGTTACATATTCCTCCAGTTGACAAATTCTGGAACAGCTCTATCATATATTATTTTCCTTAGATCAGAAATAAACAGAAATAAATGTATCCTTTTTTTGTTTGTTTGTGGATATACAATGGAACTTGCAACAAACTATTACCAAGCAGAGAGCTTCCAGTATAGAGGTTTAGTTATAGCAAAAGGCCACAAGTTCTGCTTTATTTTCCCTTTCTTCACTCCCAGTTTTCCATATTTCCTTCCAAGAAGATCAGCTATAATTCCACAGTCAGTATGTCAAGTCCTCATTGAGTTGTTGTTTTAGGTGTTTTTATTTATTCATCCGTGTGTTTGTATATGTGTATAAGAATGAGAGAGCCAGTATGTAGTGGTTAAGGTCAGTGGTGGGATTCAGCTAGTTTGCACCAGTTCAGTAGAACTGGTAGCTAATTTTTTGTTGCCCAGGCCCAGAATGGACTTCCGGAAGGGGCATCCACACAGAGAACCGGTTGTTCACATATTTGAATCCCACCACTAGTTAAGGTGCTCATCAGAGCCAGTTTCTAGTCTTCTTTTAGACATGAAAGCTGGCTGGTTCAATCACTTTATCTTAGTTCCAAGAGTCCCAACAGCAACCACAGTACTGGCCAATCCACAATGAGCCAACATTATATATTATGGAAGGTATAAATTATGAATCATTTTACAGTGTCTGCAAATATTGGGATTTCATTCTTATATGTGGCTGCTGCTTTTGTAATTCATTGGAAAGCCCCAATTTAAGTAGAAGTTTTAAGAATAGATCTAAAAGGGCATGAGAAAACTATCAGACTATGTTGACAGTTAGGCTATGATCATACTGTGCCATGGCATATTGAAAAAGCTCAAAACAAGTCAAGGTCCATTCTGCATATAAACAAAACATTCATAGGTTTTTTCATTTCCTAATTTGTGCTCTTTTTATCTGGTCTTGCTTGCAACTTAATGGGTTTGAGCAGAAATACAAACTAGAAGCTTGGTTATGACCAGGGCATCTAGGCAGCTGCAGGCTTCAATAAAGTCATTTATTGCTCTGCTCTGCCCATGACAAATGGTCCATAATGGCTGGTAAGGCTCTATCCCAAACTTTCTGCAAGGCAGCCACCCACAGTTAGTGCAACACAGTCCCACAAACTAAAGCCAATAGTCACAACAAATGATTCACAAGGCAGGGAGGAAGTCCATAGTCCAAAAACAAAATTCAGGTTCACAAGGCAAGGTCCGTAAGTCATAAAAGAGGTTCAAGATCCACAAGGCAAGGTTCAGTGTCCACAGGGCAGGAAGACAATCCAAAGCAGAGTTTTTCCAAGGCTGCGGAAGTGTGTACCAAAGCAAAACAATTGTCCCAATGAAGACACCCTCTCCCGGTCTCTGATCAATCCAGTGTTCCTTGTGAGGAGGGGCAGGACGGCTTCCTCACCAGCAGTCTCACAGACCTCCTTTGAGATTCTCTCTGCTCCACTCTCTGTGCTCTTAGATTGAGTGGGGGAGGCAGCTGTTCCTCATCAGAGGGGATCTGCTGCCTCTCATCACCACTGCCTGTCTGCAGCTGATCCTCCCATGTTTGTGAGGGCAGGCAGCTCCCTGTTTGGTTGACCATTTCCCCTAGTGTCAGAGGGGCCTAGGACAGCATTGCCCTTGGCCCCTGGACCCTCCAGACATCCTAGGGGAGACATGCCATCCCCATCAGAAGGTCCTGGTTCCAACTCCCCTCTTCCTCTGAACCGGAATCTAATGGGACCATGACAAAGTTTAGCTGGGGCACTGTGTAGACTTATATCAGGAATAAGCATGAAACAATAAGCAAGCCATACATCATATCACACTATACCAGATAAAGTGGAACATTTATCTTCAGTCTCGCACTACCAGGTGGAACAAAATCAATACAAAGCAGGGCTTCCGAACCTCACTTATCCTAGGATGCCAGAAGGCTATCATGATTGGTGGTGCTGAATAGAGCTGAGGACACCCAACAGGATACCCAAAGCCATCTCATTCCCAACTATAAGTCCAGATGTCCAGCAAAAGATGGCGAACTG